AGGGGGCAACACCAGTGTGTGCCCACCCCCCACACATTGACATTGGGCTAAACAGAAAAGGTCTGGCTTAATAATCAGCCACGTCTGAGAAGGAAGGGACAGGAGCTTGGATACTTTGCACAGACTCAGCAAAGAGAGAACGCTTGAGTGTTTGTTTCTGGCTTTGCTAAGTTAAGCAGGGTGTTTGCCCTGAGAACAAGGCTGAGAAGCAGTACCCTCTTAAATGTCCAGGAAAAGTCTTTGCTGAAGGAAGAGGAAAGGAGGCTGCTATCAGAGAGGGTTAGTTCAAGGTGCTGGGAAGGAGGTGTCTGTGTGCTGAGAGGTGAAATCCCATAGGGTGAAAGTGATAAAGGGGAGAGTTAAGCACTGACTCAGTACTTAAAATTCCCCATGGCAGCTCAGGACAGTCCCTGAGGCCAGTGACCATCTCTGCAGAACTGTCTCCATGCAGCTCCTCAGTTTTCTGCCAAAGAACCAGAGCTGACCATGGTTAGTGCACACAGGCAGAGACCCTGCTCTGCTCAGGTGGGTGAGGCTGTGACCCCACCAGGCTCTTCTTGTATGTAATCTAAAACACAAACCCTGCTTCAGGGCCAGACTCCCAAACAGAGGCATCCTGCCTGATTCCCACTCCTCTTCTCCTTCCCCCAGTAACACTAGGGAGAAGCCCTGTGGGAATATGCTTACACAGAGCCCTCTCAGATGGAGCAATACTGCTGAGAAATGAGCTGCCAGTTTCAGGGAGGGGCAGCAGGAACATGAACCCTGGGAGCAGGGGAATCTCTTTGGAAAGCCTGTCTTGGGAGAGTAAACACGTCCCAGTAGCACAGAGGCCTTATGAAATGTGGGCTGGGTGGCTGCAGCAGCTGCAGAGACACACACACCATCCCCTTGGGGCTCAGGCTGTGCCCTGCTGTCACTGTCTGCAGCAGCAAGGCTTGGGGGAACACCTGTGGGCAAAAAGGTCTAAGAAAAAACAGTACAGAGGGAAATGGAACTGTTTTGTACCACAGATGAGCAGCTTGACCTCCTCTCACTGCAAGCCAGCTCTTCTGCAGCTCCTGTGTTCTTTCCCATCTCTGTCAGCCAGGAATCTTTAGGCAATTGGTAGATCTCCAGCCAAGCTTTTGTGCTGTCTGCATTGGGAAACTATGTTAAGCAATTGCAAATGAGAAGAAAAGGTCTTTCAGGCAACCAGCCTCTGTTATCTTTTATCCTTATAAAAAGATTTGTGTATTTTCTGAAATATAAAATCTCTGTGAACTCCATGCAGCCCACCTCTCCTCCCACTTAAGGCCTGACATGCTGGATTGAGACTGACATCTCAGCCTCCAGCTCAATTCCTCAAGGTCTCACATCCATCAATGAAGCTACTCAGTCAAGAACCTGACTTGCAGCTGAGTAGAAAGTAGAAAGTGAGGCATGGTCTCACATTAGTTCTCTGCTACATCTCTCATTCTCAGCATGTGTCCAGGCAGATCTCACCAAACACAGGACCAGAAAACCTGTCTGACATGGATTCAGCAGCCATGAAACAGAAGAACTTTGTAACAAGGAGTTTCTTGTAGACTTTTTAGAGGTCCTCTATGCTCTCTGGCCTACATCTGCAGAGAAAATTATTCAGGTCTACATCTTTCCAGTGTAAAAGTGAGCCATAACAAACCAGAGGAAGAACTGAGTTTGGTACTTCTGGAGAGAGGGAAACCTGCTTTCACTGAGTCTCCTGGGAGCTGGGGACTGCACTGACCAGCTGCAGACAGCTCACTTTTGGGATCAGTCCTGATGCACACCAAGCGTTTTAGAAGGGACAGGGAGTGGCAGGGGTTGCTCTTTAAGCTGGAGGAGGAATTGGGAGGATTAAAACAGGATCCCTGGGTACCCAGACCACTTGCAGCATTCTAAAAGCATTGCTGCTGCCCCTCTGTTAGAACACTGGAGTCTGCAAACAATCATGTTCCTGCACTTGCCTTGCAGCAGGATTCCTGCATATTCACCTCCTCGGGACAGAACCACCTCCACACAAGGGCTTTGCTGGCTGATGTCCTGCTGCCAAGGAAAAACAGGCTGATCAAAGCAAGATCACTGATTCAGAGAGCTCCATGGCCTTACACTCTTCTCAACAGGCTGAAGGCCAGCTAGACTGTTGGACAGACATAAATAAATATTGGGCAGCAGGCTTGGAGGGCTACTGCCTATGAATAAATTTCTGAGGGCAACTGGTACTCCTCATGATTGATTACTTCCCAGCCTGTGCCCAGTGTCTGTGGAATTAGCTCAGCACTTACCACTTCATTCAGGATTTTAATGAGCAGGAAGCTTTCCTTGTGAAAGCAGAAGAGCCAGGCAAGCCCTGAAAGACAAATACAGATGCAGCAGAAGGAGGGAGAGAAAAGTGAGTGAATGTTAGCCATGCTCTTGGGAGATGGCTGTTACAACATGTGCAGGAGAGTGAACAGGATTACATTACTGCCTGGGCCCAAGGAACAATATCCCACTGTTTCCAGCACTAAACTTCTGCTGGCTTCCTTCGAGCACCAGCAAACCTTTGATTGTGCACAGAGATGGATAAGCCAGTCTGAAAAGTGCCTCCACCTGAAGTGACAACTTTCAGATTCACCAACACATTAGTACAGGTGCAGGAGCAGCTCCCAGGCAGGAGGTCATACAGAGCAGGAGTTCTTTCTGCCCAGCCCAAGATGTTCCTAAACTTTACTGTGCTTCACCCTCAGCTCTGCACCTTCCTCTGCTGAGCCAGAAAGGCCACCAAATCCAAGCCTATGCTAATCACAAGGCCCTAAGGCCACCCTGTCACCCTGCAATCTGTTAGCTGTCCAATGCCCACTCTGCAGGGCTTTCTAGGAAATTTCTCAGCCACACTAATGCTTCTCCTGCTTTAGCAGTGCTCTGTAGCACAGCTGCCAGTTCAGCTCCAGAGCACAGTTAATCCCCAGCTAGGGCAAGGAAATCCACAGCACACTAACCCATTTCATCCACAGCAAGCAGGACATGGCACTCATTCCCCAGATGCGAGGCATGGATGGCACAGATCTCTGTCTTGGCTGCATCCCAAGCACAGACATCCTTGAAGTCACACGTGTTGAAGGCAGCCAGACCCACGGACAGACCAACAAAGACGTGTTTTCCAGACACTGCAAGGCAATTGGCCCTTTCAGTTACCTACCAAAAAAGGGAAAAGATGAGTGTACCCAACTGCCTTCTCACAGCAGGGTGCAACAGCCATTCTAATGATACATGCCTGGCCTTTTCACCAGAAAATGCTGATTTATTGTACAAGGGAAACCTTTTGACACATTCTTTCTCCATAAGACCAAGGGAGGGTCTCTCATCTTTGTGACAGAGATTGGTCTGTGTTAGGAATGAGAAAGTTTTCTCCCATCTTTCCCCTTCCCACAAACAGAAGGGGCTTTAATGGCCAAGAACTCAGGAGCATTCAGCTCTTGAATTCCAGTGCAGAGCTGTGACGAGATGCTGAACTCCTCCAGGCAACCACAGAACACCAGCAGACACCCCAGTATCCTCCTGGACACCCCCACATAATAATGGGGAAGGCAGCACTGTCATTCTGCTCACGGTGCTCCTGCTGGAGTATTCACCAGAGCACAGAGCTGAGCCTGCCCACTCGTGTGCTACTGACTAATTACCTTCTCCCAGCAAATAAAGGTGGAGCCAGCCTGGGAAGCAGAAGGTGAATTTAGTGTTTGATGTCTGCCTCTCTCTTTTCAGAGAGGTGTGATGATTGGATGGGAAGCAGAACCTGTCAGACAAGCTGGGAAGCTGCAGGCTTTTAAACTGAACCAGTGAGATGGTGGTGCATTCTGAGGAAGGTCATGGACAGAAGAATGCACAAAATCTGCTGTGGTGGTTAATGCTGTCCCTGCTGGGAGAAGCTCTGTACCTGGAATTCACCCGTAGGAAAGCATTTTTGAGGCTGGACCTTTCGGTTTTGTGCTTCTTGGGGCATCTCCCTTTTTCCAATGATTTCCAGAGCACTCTCAAAAACCTGCATCACCAGATTGTTGATCATCCTGAAGGGCTGCGGCAGCACATCACGCTTTCGATCAGGATCCAGCAGGAAGAAATTTTCCTCATCTTCCTTTGGCCAGTCCTTTCCAGATGGTGGGGGAATCCCCAGGGGATGCTTCCTGGTATTCACCGCCATGGCTCTCCCCTTCCAGATGCAAAACGCACCACGGATGCAGGAATCACCCTGGATGCAGAAGAATGAAGAGTCCTTCAATACTTTTTTTCATGAGGTAATGGGAGAAGATTTGATTAATGGTGTCTAAGAGGGTTTCCTTTCAGTATTGACACCCAGAGCAAGTCTGCTCTGTGCAGCTCAATTATCCTTGTATCACCTATATTTCCTGGGGGTTTTGTCCTGCTCTGGGGATCTCAGCCACACAGGGATTTGCAGGCTGCCCACAGGTAAAGAGAGCCCAAAAACTTTCTCACAAGCTTGTATGAGCACTATGGCAAAGGATTCAAAAGTACTCAAAAATATTATCTTGATCTTCGTTAATTACCCAGGACTTATTCGGCCTGGCTAAAATCCCGATGATTAACTCTGAGAGCAGGTGCTCTCCCTGGAAGTTTTATATCTCCAAGACACCGCCTGGTTTCGAGCTTCAGCTCTGCGGCGGGGCCGTGCTCACGCGGGCGCAGCCCACCGGGCTGACCTCGGAGCGGGGCCGGGGCCGAGGGGCCGTGCGGGGTCCCAGGGGCCGTGCGGGGTCCCAGGGGCCGTGCGGGGTCCCAAGGCCCGTGCCGGGGCCGTGCCGGGGCCGTGCCGGGGCCGAGGGGCCGTGCCGGGCTTGGTTTCCCGGGAGGATCCGCCGCAGGTCAGCCGGCGGCTCCGACGCGGGGGAAGCCTTTCGGGGTGACACCGCCGCTGCTCCGTTGTTGACGGTTGCCGTGGTAACGGCACCTTGGTGCCGCAGCCCGGCCGGAAACGCGGCGCGCAGCAGAGCGTTCCTGGGCGGGGCGGGGCCCGGCGGGGCGGAGCGGCCGCGCTGCTGCCGCGGTGCCGCCGAGCCATGGAGGGCTTCGTGGAGTTCACCAACCGCTGCCAGGGCCGCGACCAGCTCTTCCGGTGAGTGTGGGGGCAGGCGGCCTCCCCCGGGACCGCCAGGGCCCGTCCCCTGCCCGGTGCTGCCGGGGATGGGGCCGGGCTCCGCCGGGGCTCCGCCGGGGCTCCGCCGGGGCCGGCTCCGCTCGTTCCTGTCGCTGTGGCCGCAAACTAAAACACAGAATTTCACCTCAGCGTGAGGAGGAGCTTCTGTACACTGCAGAGCCCCGGGGCAGCAGCCTCTGGTCCTGGATCTCCTCTCTGGAGACTTCCAAACCCAGCTGGACGCGTTCCCGGGTGGTCCTGCCCTGACCCTGGGGTTGTACTGCCCGGTCTCCTTCCGACCCTGTGAATAAACCTGTCCTGCTGCTGCCATCCTGTGACTGTCTGTGTCTCACCTGTGTCTCCCCTCTCCTCGTTTTTTCCCTTCCAGAGCCACTCAGTACACATGCATGTTGCTTAGCTATCTAATAGAGAATAAAGCCGATAAAAAGAAGCTGGTAATGAAACTCAAGCAGTTGGAATCTAGCATGAGCTCTGGCCGGAAAAGTAAGTACCCAGTGTCTAGAGGGATAAAACCTTCTTCACTTGCTCCTTCCAGTAAAACAGCTCCTGGCCTTGTGTCTCCTGTCGTTAACCTACCTTGAGTCACAAAACCTCTTTTAGCATATTTACAAAACTGTCAATAGACCTTATCCCTGCCGTGGCTTGCCAGGGTAGGTAGGGCTAAATAGACTTTTTTTGCTTCCTCAGCCTCCTCTTCAGTCAGACAATCGGAATTACCCCTGGAAGGATGAGAGGAGTAAGTTAACACTCAGCTGTGGCTGTAGAGGCCAAACTGTCACCTCTGTTCAAGGGCAGAGCAGGGTTCTGAGGCAAGGCTGGCTCACTGTGTGCTCATTAGTCCTTCCGGCTGATGGCTTGACACAGCCCAGTGTTGACAGATCATCATCCCACAAAATCACCTCTGAAGGACCATCCTTCAATATGGCTTTTATATCCTACTTAACATATTTATCTTCTTTAGCATTTATACCCTACTAAATCACAAACCCTTCCATGCTTCTCGCACAGCCTGACCATTTGCATCACTCAGTTCTGTGTCACATTGCATCCACGATGATTATGCTGTTACTATGTGTGTATCACTTGTTTTCAGCTTGATCTTCCACCCACTTGTCAATTGCTCAATCCTGGAACAACTGCAACATATGAGACAAATATTCTGGTCTATCATATTGCCATGGATTTGTTTATTATTCCCTTAGCTTCAGAGTTATGGTAATTTCTAGTGGGGAGGCCAATTGGTTTATCAGCATAGCCATAATTCTCCTGCTTCTGCTAAATAAATCACTAATAGACACCGGCCTAAATTCAGGGCTCTTGTAGTTCCACCAGGCTTGGGTGCTGTTAACATCTGTCACTGTGACAAGGCAGCAGGGTGTAAAAAGTGTTTTGAATAATATTGTATTGACATTCAGGGGCAAAACCCAAACGGTGCAGGGGATTAAATCAGGTTTGCCATATGTTGTAGCTTGAAATGGAGCACACTGTTCCACACAGTTTGCAGGGAGCTGCATGTGCCTCTGACAGGTTCATGGCTGAGGAGGGACTTTGGTCTCTGTGCTCAGCACGTGAATCACCAGCTTTTACAGGCACGTAGGCAACTTGTATCTCATGGCTGCAATAGGATTAATGCAGTAGCAGCTTCTGTCACAAAGTGAGGTAAAACGCAGTGAAATGTACAGCTGAAATCAGAGGCTCTTGGTGTTCTCTGCTGGCATGATTCCTGCAGAGCCAAGGGTGACACTGGTCCAGAGGCCTCCCAGGTGCAAGAACAGAGTGGCAAGAGAGGCTGCAAGTCCTGGCTATCGACCAAACGTGTGTGTATGTCCTGGGCTGGTGATGTTTACCCAGAACTGAGATGTTTACACCCCTTTCCTCACTAATTCTAGGAAGTGCTTAAGCATACAAACACCTGAAGCCCTCCAAGTTTTGTAGAATCCACGTGGCCTGCGGCAGGCCGAGTTCTGCGTGAGGCCGGGCCGTGCTAACCTGTGTGCGGTTTCTTGCAGTGTTCAGACTGGGCAACATGGTGCACGCCTTGGTGGCAGCCAGGAGGGCTGCAGAGCTGCCAGAGGTGGTTCCTCGCCTGTGCCTCACGGCCTCCCACCTCAGCCGGGCCCTGTACTTGGTGTGCGACGCCGTGCTGTGGCTCAGGAGCGTGGGGCTGCGGCCGCACCTCGACAAACCCAAGTGGCACACCTGGGCCACCAAGTGCTACTACTGCTCCCTCCTGATGAACCTGGCCAGGGACTGGTATGAGATCTCCTGGAGGCTGGAGCAAGCTGCACTGGAAGAAAAGACAAAGGAGAATTCCGTCTGGCAGAAACACAGCGAGGAGCTAAACGGTGTGAAAAGCGATGGTTTGCACAGTTTCCTCTGCCAGCTCTTTCAGATACTGAAAAGGAATCCTCCTTTGTTGCTGGACTTGGTGAAGAACCTCTGTGATCTCTCAGGCCCTCTGGATACACTGGGAATCTACAAGACCAACCCAGGAGTGATTGGTTTCTGTGGCATCCTCTCCTCCCTGGTGGGGATCCTCACATTAGCAAGCCCACATCTGAAGCTGAAACAGTGACATAAAAGAAGCTGCATAGTATAAGGCTGCAACTTTGATCCTCTGACAGATTTTTATCTTCATATAGCACTTTCGAATGAACATGTCTTAAAATAATCTCAAGATTAATTTTGTCCTCTGAAGAAGTGAATTCTGCCCCTTTTCCTTCCCTGTGCCTTTGCAGATGAGTTTAGTGCCATGACACACTCCCTGATAGGGTGGAGAGAGGAAAAGGCTGAGTAATATTTCACAAACATAAAGAGGACTTGGCTAGTAGATAAGAAAATATTCCTGTATTTAATACAGGGTTGTGAAATAGCTGCATAGGCAACTGTAATAGGTATATGAGTCAAGACTACACTAATCATGTTTACACTGGAAAGTTTCAATTCACTAATCCAAGGTCCCTGCAGTCAGATTGTCTAGAGTGGGCTAAGGCAGGTTAGGAGCTGCAGTTAGAACAGCCTGAAGTCAGGAATGAGTGTTCTGATGGCTTTAGGTTGATGGATCCTGTGTCCTGCAGGCACTGAACTCACTGTGGTGGTACCTGGAAATGGTCTCCGGGGTGTGTGCACTGGTGGTGCTGGAGCTGCAGTCTAGTGAGTGCCAACTCCTGTCCCAAGAAATCTGCACTTTCTTTGTTTCCTTTGATACTGTGAGCCAAGGACTGTTGGCCAGTGACTCTGACTGCTCCAGCAGGCCACAGCTGAGGGCTTTGGTGCAGGGCAGCATATTAACTCCCAAATCCCTGTAATTGCAAACACAACTATTTTCCATTACTAATATTGTGATAAGGAGCTTGTTTTTCTCTTTAAATTGTACATGACAAATTCCAGTATAATAAGGAGTCTGGAACATGCAGTTAAGGAGAGAAGCATGGCTCAGAGCTCGTTGAGTCAGAAAAACTGCAAGGACATGTTTCTAGTTGTGTAAGCTCCAGGAGGGGAGAGAATGGAGTTTGTCATGATAACATCAGAATCCCATCAGAATCCCATTGTCATGATAACATCAGAATCCATTTCACTGGATTTGGGCATTCATGGTTTAGATTTCCTATCTGGTGCTCCCTATCCTCCCTGCTCATGACCACATGATTGCTCGTGTGTTCCTTTGCTGGCTGAATGGGTTCAGTTGTTTGGAAATGCCTCATTTTGTTGCCCTGCAACTGTGTTATTGTTCATCACTGACCTCACTGGCAGTGATGGCTGGCAGTGTAACTGGGTTAAAAGAGAAATGCTGTGTCCAGCTGTCTAGCATGGCATGCAGTTTCTGCTGCTCCTGACTTCGCAGAGTACCAGTTTGACACCATCTGAGACAAAATTGTACATTATACAGGAGATAAATTTTACATTTTTCTTCATCAGAGTTAGGCCTGTGTGTTCTGCTGCTTCCTGTAAGAAGTCTTTGTTTAATCTGTCAAGGAGATGTGAACAGACTACTCTAACCTGAACCAATGTGATCTCCTATTATTTCTGATGCTATCTAAAACCAGAACATTAAAAGGCCTCCTCTACTAAAAGGCAAAGGATGTGGAATTAAGTAGGCAGGTGAGGCAGTGCTCCAATTTACCTGAAGTTGTGGTTGGGCTTGCAATTACTTCCAAGTTTGAATATTAAGTGATAGCCTGCCAATTAAGTGTTTGAAAAGAAAAAGGTTGCTGGGCAGGATAATTAAGTGTGTTTGAGGACCAGATGTGGCCTTCAGCAGCTCTTCTTTTTAATATAGAAATGAGTAGCACTAAAAGTAGAAGCATACTGGCAGTTCAGGCCAAAATGGAGCATTATGTTCAGGATATGTATTATAGGCTATATTCTAGGCTTCCTCTCCTTTATAATATTGTTTCTCTCTCCATTTGTCTTTCATCTCCTGGCAATGTGGAAGCCATGCCTGCCTTAGTCAGAGCTGATCATTATCCCAGTATGCAGCAACTCCTGGAAGAAAGGAAAAGGAGTCTTCATCATCTGACAGTGGAGGTTTGACCAGCTTTTGTCTTCAGAATTCCATCTTATTGCTAAAAATGTGTTTTCAGTCCCACTCAGGGGAGCTCTTAGGTGCAAAATACTTCATAAAATATTTTCACTGGTTTGCCAACTGCTTTCTCTTTCTTACACTTTTCAGGGAAAGCCATTGATACAGCCCAATCCCCACCTCCCTGTGCCCTGCAGGCAAACGCTGTACAAAGCCTTGAGCCAGGCATGGATGTTTCTCCCATAGGGTCTGGTGTGGATTACCTTGTACAGCCTTTTTGAGGGAAAAGGGGTGTGAGCTTTCAGCCTGTCTCAGCCCTACCTGCCATAGGCTGGAACACACAGGAGTACCTCTGCTGGATGTTAAGCACTAATATTTGCCTTCTGCTCCCCAGCTGGAGGCTGGTGATTTAAGGTACCTTAACGTAATGTGACTGAAGCCATAGGATTGTGATCATAGGGAGAAAATCCTTTTAGTGCCTTTTTTTGTACTCTTTTTAATACAGCAGTTGGAGTAAGAACAAGATGTTTGATTATAAGCAATAAACTGTGATAAGTGTGACACTGTGTCTGTGTATAACTTGGAAGGTGGTGTAAAGAGGTGCTGAAGGAGGAGGAATTCCTCCCATCTCTGAATTTTATGAAGGGTGACACTCTCAAAAAGACATTGCCTGTGGTTAGATTCTAGAGCTTTCCTTTTGCAGTAGCCAATTGGCAGCTAGATTTATCCAGCTAATTTGGAATCACAAATTCAGCTGCAAAAACATTAAGAAATACATGAGTATCACATGAAACTGCATCCTTAGAATGCCCTGAAACAAGGTTTTTGGGAATTGCCATCAGCTGCCTGTGAGTACCAGCAGGGAGGGCTGGAGCCTTATGGCCAGTGTAGGCACAGCTGGGTGAAAGGGACAGGAGAAGCTGCATTTCAGTGTCTTATAAACAGCTTTTCATTTGGATGGTGATAGTTTAGTGACAAATGCCAGTTCAGGGAGGGAACAAAAGGTAACATCTTGGGCAGAGGGGGCAAGGGATGGAGCCAGGATAACCATTAAACTGAGCTCACTGTTAGCTCCTACCCCCTGCAGGGAGAGTCTTGCAAACTTGGAAGCTCCAAAATGTCAGCTCCTGAGCAATGTATAAAGCATGGCATTCAGGAGTGCTTTAGCAAGAGTTTCCTTCTGGATTAGTGGCCTCATACACATTTTGTAATGGAAGTAGTATGAGAGGTTTTCTTCTCTTCTGCTTACAGACAAGGCCTTCCTAACATTAACACTGTGCTTGGCATGACATTTCAAGGAATATGTGAGCCATTGGGGATTCCCAGGTGAGCATCCAGAGCAGGCAAAGGTTAAAAACCAACATCTCCGGGGAGATACCAAATACACCCATTCTGTAGAGGCAGTGTGACTGGGGGAGGGTGTGAACAGTCTTCCAAGTGTCCCAAAGCTTTTCTGCCAAGAGCAAGGCAATAAATTTGCCTCCAAATCCTGGAGATATATTGCCACAAAGAATTAAAGCACACCTATTTTTTTAACTGAAAGTAAAATAAAAAATCTAAATAGCTTGCCTAGGAGGGCATCCTTAAAAAGAAACTGGGGACACATCTGCCAGCAGTGGTTATGGGGTTGCTGATCCTGAATGGAAATGAATTAGATACTTCTCCAGCCCCCTCCCAGACCAAAGTATGAAGGTGCCTTGCAGGCACATTTGTGGATCTGGCTCATCCCCTCACTGTGGAGTATCACTGAGTATGGAGCAGACTGCAGGGAAGTGACACTGCTTCCCTGTATCCTGTGTATCTGTGAGCTCTAAACATTGCCTGCAGGAGCACAGGAGTGTTTCTGGTGCAAGCTGGAGTGCTGGGGCAGGGAGGCCGTGGTACCTTTGCCCTGCAGAGCTGGGGCTGGCACAGCCTTTGCCCCAGAGGAAGGGGAGGGGATGAGCACAGGCATTAGTAGGGCAAAGGCTGTGTTGGCTCCTGACTCCAGACAAGGGGAAGAGGAGGTTGCTGTGCCCTCTGCACTTTTAGCCAGGGGGGCTGGAAAAAATCTCAGTTTGCCAAGAGAGCAAGCTTCCAAGCAGGCTGGTGCCCTTTATCCCTCTGTCTCAAGGGCAGTGACTGACCCCAGCACCAGCTGGAAGCAGCCCAGAACATTCATGTGCCTCTGTACCCAGCCAACAAGGCAGGCACAGCCCCGGGCTGGGAGCAAATGGGAAGGAATGGGAGTATTTTCTTTCCATCTCTGCTTTTCCCATGCCCCTGAGAAGCCTCCCACCCCCATGTAGGAGCAGTGCAGCCACAAGCAGAGAGCCACGGGGCCGTGTTGGATGCTCACCTGCATGTGCTGAATGGGAGTGCTGGGCAGCTGTGGGAATTGGGGGCCACATGCCAAGGGGCTCCCTGCCTCACCAGCTGATCCAGGACACACAGCAGCCCTGGACCTCTCATCTGCACTGATTTCCCTGATTATTGCCTTGTCCTCTGGCATTTGTCCTCTTTCCACCACACTGTCCTCATCTCATCAGTGTGGCTTGTCTGTAGTCAATAACCAAAACTTGGCATAGTCCCATACAGGTGGTGTGGTCTTCTTTTCAGTCAGTACCACAAATGGGTTTGCTAACAATGGTGTGAGTCCTCAGTGTGCCTCCTGTGCATTCAGGCCATGGAAGAGCAGCATTTTAGTGAGAGCACTGCTGGCTGGTCAAGGAGAGCAGTTGTTCCTCTACAAAGCATTTGTGAATTTGGGGAACCACCTCTTGTTTTAGTCCCACCATCACAAGAGACATCTTGAATAGTCTTTCAGAAGATCACTGAGAGAGTAAGGCATTCAGGGGCATGGAACACAGGCTGCACCAGCACAAAGTGGGGCAAAAACTCTGCTCAGAAGTGCACAAAGCAAAGATAGGAGATGTCAGGTACAACAAAGAAAATTCCAGCTGGACATTAGAAAAAATAGTTTAACCATTAGCATGGTTAGCACAGGAACTGGGAAATCCCCTCACTGGAAGTTTTTAAGACTGGACAAGACCTAGAGCAGCCTGATCTGGCTTTCAAGGTAGCCTTGCTTTGAGCAAGAGTTGAACGAGGTGATCTTCAGAGATCAGTTCTAAACTGATCTTTTTCTCCATCTACCCCAAATGCCTAAAACTTTCCTAATGAAGTGTCTGCCCTGACCCTCAGCTACAGCCTCCTCACCAAAAGTCTCATGAATCATCTTAGAAATTGCAGACCTGGCCAAACCAGATTGCTTCAAGCAGAATATGTTCCCCACATCTCCCTTCCGCTCCTTGTGCTTAGTAAACTCTCCTGGGGAGGAACCACATTCTTGTTCTATGTTAGGTTCCCCAGCAGGATCGTACCCTAGTCCACCGTGAGGCACAAGAGGGCTTACAGAAATACAGGAGGGTTTTAATCTCTTAGGAAACCCTGACTATTCACCTTCTCCCTGTCTGCTCATGATCTGTTGCTTTCGAGCTGGTGAGGTCCCAGGGCAGCTTCTTCTCATCTTCTGTGGAAGGAGTGAGAAGCCACCCCAAAATGTTTCAGCCATGCTGCGGCTTCTGGACTGTGCAGGGAAGGCGACCAAGGGGATTTTCTGCCATCATCTGTTCCCAATTACGGTGGTTTCAGGGAGCTCCTTGGCCCATTTCCACCACAATCCATCAGCTCCCGAGCCCACGCAACTGGGAGGTGGGGCCTCGTGGTGGTGGTAGTGGCCAGAGCACGACACATCACCCTCACAGGACCAGGGTGAAGGCACAGTGCAGACACCACTCTCTGCCCCTGCTCTGCTGGGAACGGGCTGGCCCTTGGTGAGTAGTCTGTGCCCACTGGGTGCTCCAAGACAGCTTCACTGGGACCAGGGAGTGAGAGCAGGGATCACCCATTCTCTCTAGATTTCCAGAATTTCATCTGCTGCTAAGAAAAAGGGGACTGTGTTGGGGCTGGAGCTGAGTTTTCATCAGGATGAGTGCTGGCATTATGAGCAGCAGATATGTATGAGGGAGATGCTGACCTCAGCTGGATATCTCACCATATCCCTACCCATCGCTTTTCTATCTGCTCCTGTCCTGCCTTATTACCCCTTCTCAGCAAGAGTCCACTCTCATGCACATCTGTTAGCATCCTGGTTGCTCTGAGTTTGCTTTGCCAGCATACTTTACCCTGCCCTTACCATAACTTCCCTAAACTACATGCTTCTGAATGAATTTTTTCATATCTTTGGGTGTTAAGGCACACAGGCAGGGCAGGGCTGCACGGAGGCTTTGGTTATACAGCTTAACTGGTAAAAAGTCAAGTGTTGGGCAATGCCACGTCCATTGCACCCACGGGAGGTGTGTGTCAGCCCAGCTGCTGTGCTTGGGGGTGCAGGAGTGATGGGGAGCCCAAGCCCAGCCCTGCTTTCAGGCAGAGTCTGCGGTTCCCAACTTTGCTTTGCAGGTGGATGCGCCACAATGACGGTGAAGAAGACTCAGGCTCTGCAGGATGGAAGTGCCAAGGTGGGTGCAGGAAAAGGGAGAGAGAAAAGGGTAGAGATGTGCCAAGGGGGCCAGGTAGTGTGTGTTGACTGTGCTGGATGAATATCAGCCACACCTCACACTGTCTCACCTGTTCCCATATTCTCTTTATATGATCTTTACCTGCAGTAGTATGGAGCATCATCAAAGGGAAAGAACAAACCTTTTTGCGTACTTGAAATTAAATAGTTCAGATTCAAAAAGGTACCCTTGAGCTGATGAAAGTACTAAGTGATAGCTGCCAACTGAGCCTGTCCTTCATCTGTGCCCCATTTAGTTCCCAGACCTCCAGCAGTCATGGAGGTTTCCACAGGGTGGAAGGCCAGAGGGAGCACCTAAACAGCTGGATTAGGATATTGGAGGAGTGGAGACCGATGCCTGTGGTGTCCCTGCTCCCTCAGTGGCAGCCAGCCTGCTTGTCCTTACTCAGCATACTTGGGAGACCCTCAGTGGGGCTAGAGAAACAGCCCCCTCCTCTTCCTGTGCAAGCCGAGGTCACTGCAACCCTCCAAGAGCCGCTGGCTGTGGGCAGTGGGGCATTCCTGGGGGAAGAGCTGTTTCTGACCCACGTCCGTGCACCATGCACAGGAGAACGTGCTGCAGAGGGTGCTGCAGCTGCCCGTGGTGAGCTCGACGTGCGAGACGCTGCAGCGCAAGTACAGCAGCACCAAGGAGTCCCACCCGCTGATGGCCTCGGTGTGCGAGGTGTACGAGCGGGGCGTGCAGGGCGCCGGCGCCCTGGCCATGTGGGGCATGGAGCCCGTGGTGCGCCGGCTGGAGCCGCAGTGTGAGTCCGTGTGCCGGGGGGACGTGGCAGGGGGGCCTGGCAGAGCATCCCTGGGGGGACAGCGCTGGCACAAGCACGCGCTGGCACGGCCCAGGCGCTCTTCTTACCGCGCTCTTGCCCACGGCAGTCGCTGTGGCCAACAACCTGGCTTGCCGGGGCTTGGACCACCTAGAGGAGAAGATCCCTGCTCTGCAGTACCCTGTTGACAAGGTAAGTCACAGGCAGGACAATCTGGGACACCCCCCCCCCCCCCCCCCCCCCCAGTACATCTCCTCTAGTCTTGTTTCTGCATGGCTGGGAAACAAGGCAGCATCTCCCAGTGAGGGCTCCTCCAAGGGCCTCTGCAGGCTAAACGATGGTTGGGGCTCCCAAATATAAGTCAGCAGTGTCGTGTGTCCCATCCCTGACAGCTGCCTCCAGCCCAAGTTGGAGAGAGCTGTCATGCCCCTCTTGGAGCTGTTAACTGGCATGGCTGGGGTCCCTGCGGTCCCTCTGTCTGTCCTATGCCACCCCAAGCACACCAGAGGGGCTGTTCTCCATCTCCCTGCCCACAGCTCGCATCTGAACTGAAGGACACCATCTCCTGCCCCCTCCAAAGTGCCAAAAGCACCATTGGCAGCTCCATGGATAAGATCATAGAGCTGGCAGCGGAGGGCTATGAGGCCACCAAGAACACGGTGGAAACGACAGCCAAGTACACAAGGAAGAACTCAGTGACCCAGATGGCAGCTGCAGGGGTCGACACAGCCCTGGGAGGGCTGGAGAAGCTGATGGAATACCTGCTGCCAGAGGAGGATGAAGAAGCAGGTAGTCCTGATGCCCCAAATTCCCTCTGAGGGAATCTGGAGACAACTGGCTGGGTGGCTCCTCAGTTGTAGGGTGCATGGGGCAGGAGGCAGCTCCTGGATTTTGGCATAAGGCTGCCTAGGAGGGTTGTCTCACCAGAATGTAACCTTCCCACCATTCTTCTACCTTTAGATAAGAAGCCCAAAAAGAAACGTCTGTCAACATCAAAGGTGTCCCAGCAGCAGCCCAGCACTACCACCACTCCCTGCACTCCCAGTTCTCCCAGTGCTACCAGGGCTCCCAGTGCTCACAGCACTGCCAGGGCTCCCAGTGCTCCCAGGGCATCCAGCACACCCAGCACTCCCAGCACTCCCAGTGCTCCCAGTGCTCCCAGTGCTCCCAGCACCCTGGGCCGGATTGGCGCTTTGGTCAGCACCGTGTCCCACCGAGCTTACCAGCAAACCACCCAAAGCCTCCAGCGTGCCAAAACCAAAGGGCAGGAGCTGGCCTCCTGGATACCCATCCTGGTGAGTGCCAGAACCCAACTGCTGGGTTCCTGCTCCCCCATATCCTCTTTTGAGCCGATTTTCTTTCAGAACGGACATTTCAGGCTCCTTGGAGCAAATCTGAGCAGAGTTCACTTCCCCTGCTCAGCAGGACAAGTTGGGCCTGGCGGTTCCTGCGTGATGTTCACACATAACCATGTACCACAATAGTGGGACAAGTTATTTTTAGCAGCTTCCCAGCATGTAATTGTTGATTTATGGCCTTGCCATAACATCCTTCCTAAAGCAAAAAGCCCCTGCAGAGACCCAGAGGGGATGGGGAGAAGGAGGTACTTTTCCTACCCTGTGCTGCAGTGGGAACAACTTCCCTGACCTGTGCCAAAATCCCAGAGCTCCCATCTGCCCTCAGGATTTCTCCCCAGATGCACAAATGAACTCCCTGCTCCCTGTGCACCCCCGTGAAATCCAGGCTAAACAGGAGGGAGTGGATGGGACCAGCCAGCTCCCTCTGAGCGGTGGCGTTTCGCTCCCCTTCCAGGGAAGCCTGGCCAAGCCGAGCGCCCCTGCAGCCCCTCAGGCCCGCAGTGATGGGCAGGGCAGTGCAGGATGGCTGACCCGGCGCCAGAGCAAGGCACCGGAGCAGAAGCAGGAGAAGGCAGGGAAGAAAGACACCAACCACACCAAGGTATGGAGAAAAGCAGAGCAGTGAGCTAGCAATGCTCCAAAGCATCCTCCTACCCATGGACCATGGGGGCTGTTTCCCCATACCTTTGGGGACTAAGCCCCTAGCCCTGCTCAATCCTGAAATGCAGCTCAGAGAATGCAAGAGTGGGTTGGCAGCCCCAGGAGTCCCCTTCCCTTTCCCCAGAGCTGGGAGCTGTGGGCAGCCTCTGTGCCAGGCAAAATCACCCTGGCTTGTAGGTTCAAAACTCCTTTGGAGGTGTGGGATGTCAGCACTGAACTCCCTATTGATCCCCTGAACACCCCTGAGAAATCCCCCACTGTGGTCCCAGCAGGGAGGGGTGGTGTGACCGGTGGGGCTGGGAACAGGCTCCTGCATGGCTCCGCTGGGACCTGGGGACGGGAAGCAGCAGGTTGGGGTCGGAGCCCTTTGCCTCTGACTGCAGCGGAAGCACAGCCTGGAGCAGAGGGTCCCCCGGGGCCTGGAGTGGGGGGAGCTGGCACCGACCCTGCTGCAAAGAGCTGTGCTGGCTTTTGCAGAGCAGCGAGCTGAAATCTCTCAGGCTAAGAGCTGCAGAGGGGATAGGGAAAGCAGGACCACCCCTGTCCTGCCTGGAGGCTGGGCAGCTCCAGGAGCTGAGCTGGTTTCTCTGGGCAGGAGGGACAGGACCCCGGGCTCGTGGGCAGCGTGGCTCACAACCTGCAAACCGCCTACGCCTCGGGCATCTCCAGCGTGAAGAAGGTCCCAGCCGTGGCCTGGGATGCGGCAGAGGGCTTGATCCTCTTCACCCCCCGCAGGCTGTCCAGGGCCATGGAGACAGTGGATGCTCTCGGGGGGACCCTGGTCAGTGCCCCGAAGCATCTGCTGGGCACCCTGTACAGCTACGTGCCGGTGAGTTTGCCCCCAGGCAGGCCCTGCCCATCTCCAGCAAACCCCGCTTTGCTCCATCTCCTGCCATGGGCACCCCACAGCTGCAGGCAATGTCAGGGGGTACCAGAGTGGGGAGATGGCATGCCTTGAAAACACCTCAGTCCCACCCTCCTCTTGAGCATCCCCAAAGCCATGACAGTGAGTCCCCCAACAGAATAAATGGGTCAGGCAGTGGTGACACCTTCACACAGTTCATGCCCAAGCCAAGGTGTGACCACGTTCCTGGGAAGGTGAAAGTCCAGGCTGAGACCCTGTTCTCCGTCCTTTACCTCAGCCTGTTGTTCCTCAGCATTTCTCCACCACAGCTGCTCAAGGACTACAGGCCACCCACTCCTCTCCATTCTGGGGGCAAACTGGCTTCTCCTGACCTCCTCCCAGTTTAAGGGAGGCTGTGAAGCACAGGTGCAGCAGGGCTGGCAAGTGGGTACAGCCTGGCTGGGTGCTCACCCCATCTCTCAGCTCCGCAGGCAGTCGGTGAAGGAAGAAGAAGCACCCAGGAGCAGCAAGACCAACACGGAGAAGAAAGAGAAGAAGGAGGAGGAAGAGGAGACCAAGCCTGCTGCCCCCTCCACTGAGGAGAAATCCCAGCTGAGGGGTGACTGGCGGCTGTACCGTGGCCATCACCCCCTCTCCTTCCTGGGGCTCGAGGACCCCCTCTTCCTGCGGCACAACTACTACCGCAGCCCTGCCTTCGACCCAGACTACCCGTTCCCACGGAAATCCGCCTTCTCCCCCTACAACCGGCGGGTGAGCGAGGGCTCCTACCGCTTCAGCCCCGACTCCATGTACAGCCGGGCCTACTACGGCAACTTGTACACTCCTGTCTTCAAGAAGGACTGAGCCAGCGGGCGGGACAAGCACATCCCAGCCCCTCTCAAATCCCCTCAGCATGCTTTGCCTGGGCCCCTGCCAGCTTCCCACACACACCCCTGCTCCAGGACAGGAGCTTAAAGTGGTAGACAGGCCATGGGATAGCTTATTCTGGAGTGCATCAAGGCCAGGATGGGGGAATAAAGGCAACCAAAAGCCCTGTTGCCAGAAGGAGAAGGTAGGGGAAGGTGGGACTAGGAAGGTGAAGATGTGGAAAGAGCAGTGAGACCAGAAGGGACCACCCAGGGCTGGCACTGGGCTACCTTGGGCCCTGCTCAGCAGACAGAGTGAACTTAGATGGGCTACACATTGAGAGAGAGAGGGGAGGATGGCAAAGCTGTCAAACATCACCATAGCAAGCCTACTTCCCCATCCTTCCTCCCTTCATCCCCCTTTGCAGGATCCATCCCTAGGCACAGATTGCTCCTCCACGGAAGGACTGAAGATCCCCACCAACCAGCAGGATTCATGAGTGGGAAAGCCCTGGGAACTTCTCTCCCAGCTGGGATGGATGGTGGGGTCAGGAAAAGGAACAGGTGGAGATCCTGGAGCCCCTCTCCCACAGGATCACCTGGCTTCCCACACCACCTTGTTCTATCTGCTGCAATAATAAACCTGCAATAATAAACCACCTGCCGCTCACCCCATCTGCTCGGCTTCTCTGTGGGAGTGAGACACCAAACCAAGGGAACACAGTGGGGTGAGACCCCCAGCTCAGGGCCGAGGGAGTGGGTGCGGGAAACATCCTGTCACATCCCCTGTGGGGAGCTGCCACTGGGAGAGTGGGTGCTCATGCCCAGCACGGTACGTGTCTCTTCCCATGCCCCAAGTACAAATTCACAGCTCCAAGGAGCCGGGGCTTCCTGCCAAAGACAATTTATTGCATTTCCAGAATAACACAGCAGAGAAATCAGTGTCCCTACAGCACGCACAAACCCTCTTCCAATACACTGCTTTCCCAGGGCACAAAGAGAAAGGTTTGGGAGAGGCAGGAAAAAGCCTCCCAGCAGCAGAGGTTTCAGCAACGAGCCCAGCGACCCCTTTCCCCAGCTCCTTTCCTCCCCGGGGACAGGCAGCCCTACAGGAGTGGCTTGGGAAGGCGTGTGGTGCAATTCCATGCTGGGAACGAGCCCCGCGCCTGGCTTTTCCCAGGCACAGCCTGTGCAGCGCTCGCCCGCACAAGGGAACGCTGTGATCACTGAAGGCTGTGGGGGAGAGGGACATGAGCACGACTGCTCAAAAGCACGGCGGGGGATGGGAGGCACCAGCCCTCTCCAAAGTCCCCAGGACTGCCGGTGCCCTGGGCTCTGGGATGCTCTCACTCGGTGATAACTGAGTGGGAACTGCCAGTGCCTCCCCAGTGGAGAAAGCCCCACCTCTCCAGCTCATGGGTGCTCCAGGGTTACTGAAGAGGATCCTGATCAGGGTTAAAAGGGAATAAGGATCCCAGAGTAGGAGTGGAGAGACAGGGAGTCGTGTGCTGTACAAGAGCAGGATATCCTCCCTAATCGCTGACAGCTCCAGCTGCAGGAGCTAGGGATGCTGCTGCCTGGAGCTTTGGCAAAATCCCCCCGTGGTTTCCAGTGTTGGAGGACAGAAGGAGAAAACAGGAGGCACCTAAAGAGCTGGTACAGCAAAGAGATGAGCCTGTCCCACGGCAGAGCCAAGAGTAACCCACTACAGTCCTCAGCTGCACTGGCTGTGCGAGGCAGGACACCCAGACCCTGACACTAGGAGGACAGCAAGGAACCCGTCACACTTATGGAAAGAGACACACCATCTCCATGGGCACCCTGCAAGGAGGCTTGGCCCAACAGGGCAGCACAGAGAGCAGCAACACCCGTGCAGGAACTCAGAGGGAGTCTGTTCGCTTACGGGCAAACACAGCCGACATGGTCTTGACGATGCCACGGATCCCTGTGCCCTTCTTCAGGGCCAGCTTGGTGTCTGGGATGAGCTTGGCCAGTCCATGGAAGACCATGAGGGCCCCGTGGTAAGCCTCAGCTGCAGAGACCTCATAGAAACCACAGTCTAAAGAGAGGGCCAGGAGCCGCCCCTCCTCGCTGGACACCACCCGCTGGTGGTGCAGGTCCCGTTTGTTGCCCACAATGACTATGGGCACCTTCTCCTGGCTCTGCCCCTCCTTGGCAGCCTTGATGAACTGGATTTTGAGGGGCAGGATGTTGAAGCTGGCACGGTCACAGATACTGTAGACCAGGACAAAGCTGTCTGCCCACTGGATTCGCTTCTCCTCTGAGGAGCCATCCTCTGCCTGCTCCTGGGGAAAGAGAAAAGGAAGGGTTGTTTTATTGGGCTCCCTCCCTCCAGGCCTGCCTGATAGAAGAGGGCAATCTTGAGCCTGTCGTGACAGGGACAGCTAGAGAACAGAAAAAGGGCAGAGAGAAAGAGGAGTACAGAGGAGGGCAGAGCAGCACCTGGCAGCACTAACCAAGGGGGGGGTGATTCAGCTTTCATCATCACACCCTAATCCTAACCCTCACCCAGCTGCCAAGCACTGCAGGCTGTAGGTGATAACAGTGTGGGGACCTCAGAGCAGCACCTCTACTTCTTTAGCAGAGACCTGTATTAGCATCGGTGCTTCAGCTCCAGTGTTGTCAGCCAGAGGACCATGGGCTATGGGAACTATTGCTACCCTGCCAGCAACATTGCTTCCTCTGCTTGGCAGGTGAGAAGAATTCAGTCACTTATGAACCCTCTGATTTGAAAGCCTTGCTCAACTGGACCTCCCAGCCTGTGGTTCCCCATAGGTAACTTCCAGTAAAGAGGTTTTTTTGTCCCTGGGGTAGAAACCGGTGATAGGAGTGGAGCCCTCTCACCTGGGAACTGGGGACGTCCCAGATGTGTAAGAGGATCTCTCGGCCATCCACAGTCAGGTTGTGGCTGTAGATAAATTCTGCACTCCCAAAAAGAAAAAAAAAAAATATAGTCATCTTCATGGTGTCACCAGCTGCCACCCTGGACCGTTTGCACCCCAGAGAAGCAGCTCTGGAGCAAAGAGATGCATCACTGAACAAATACAACACTGAGCCCCTGGGAGCAGGCAAAGGCTCTGGAGAAAGGCAGGAGGGGATGGGCTGAAATGAAATCCCACAGACGGAAGCAGGGCTGTCTCTCGACCCCAGTCCCTGTAGGGAACTGGCCTGGCCCTGCCCTGGCACTCACCCATGTCTCCATACTCTCCAATAAAGCGCCGGGTCAGGAAACGCACGGTCAGAGCTGCAGACAGAAGGACAGGAATAATCAGAATAACCCAAAACCTGAAGGATTCTCCTTTCTAAATCCAGAGCAGAGTCAGGCACCATCCCCTTGCAAACTCCTACAAGCAGGAACGACCTCTGAGTTTCCTCAGCCAGCAGCAGGTTTGCGAGTGCAGCAGAGGCACAGCACGATCCAAAGCATCTGCACGCTCCGGAGCATCAGCAAACTGCAGCTCAGTGGAAAATACCTTCCCCTGTCATTCCCCGGCTGGCTAGAAGGTTGTGCTCAGCTTCCCCACCTTGAATCACAGCTGCTGCACCCCAGGGGCTCAGCCCCATCTCACCAATTTGCTCCATGGGCTGCTCCCTGCCTCCGGTCCTCCAAACCCTGCTGCAGTTTTCAGCCTGGGAACAGTTCACGGTCAGCTCTCACCTGATTTCCCTACGTTGTCCGCTCCCATGACAAGGACGTTTGCTTCCATCTTCAGGGCAGTGGGGCCAGGCACCTCCATGAGGGCAGGGTGGTCGGGGGTGAAGCTGGTGCTCCGGCGCAGCGGGAGCCGCAGCCCCATGCCGAGCGTGGCCGAGCCGCTCGGACGGTCCCAGCCGTGTGCACGGCTCGGCTCGGCACGGCCGCCAGCCCAGCGCTTCCCACGGCACCCAGGGGACCCACGAGGCCCATACCCCTCCCCGCAGCCGCAGGGGCGGTGCAGAGGGAACTGCAGGCAGCCGGATGAAAAACTTTGTCATCGCTCAGACTGTCCTGAGCATACGTCAGTGGTGAGCCGGCCCCGCCAGCCCCCAGCGCGGCGGGCGGCCGGGAGGCACCAGCTGTCGGCACCGGCTGCTCCGCAAGCCGCATCCCGGCGGTGCCCACGGCCCCGCCTCACAGCACTTGCTGCCTCGGCAGGGCCACGCAGCCCCTCGTCCCTTCCCCACGGTGACCGTGGGGATGTCAGCCGGGAGCGGAGCAGTGTCACCGCTGCTGGGGCGTCTCGTCAGGGATGAAACACTGATGAGAGACCTGAGTCCCTTTGGCTGACGGAGCATCTCATGGGTGGTGGAGCTTTGTTCCACCAGAGACGGAACACCTCACGACTAACGGAGCGCTGCCTCGCACGTGACGAAGCATCTCACGAGGGATGGAATCCCCCGTGAGCGATGAAGCATCCCAAGAGCGACGGAGCATCTCCCGAGCCATGGCGCTTCTCGGGAGCGCCGGGGAGCCGCCGCGCAACTCCCGCAGCCGCGGGGCGGCCGCCGCTCCCCGCGGCCGCTCTCCCCGGGGTGCAACGAGGACCGGCCGCATCCTCCCTCCCTCCCGGCGCCTCGCATCCCGCTCCCGGCCCCTCGCATCCTCCCCCGGCCCGGGAGGAGCCGCTGACGCCATCGCGGCGCGCCCGGCGCGGCCATGGCGGCGGAGGCGGCGGTGGTGCGGGTGGCGGTGCGGGTGCGGCCGCTGCTGCCCCGGGAGGCGCTGCGGGGACACCGGCCCTGCCTGCGGAGCGATGCCGCCACCGGCGAGGTGGCGCTGGGCCGCCGCCGGTTCCGCTTCGCCGCCGTGCTGCCCGAGGCGGCGGGGCAGGCGGCCGTGTACCGGGCCTGCGTCCAGCCGCTGCTGCGCGCCTTCTTCCGCGGCTTCAACGCCACCGTCTTCGCCTACGGACAGACCGGCTCCGGCAAGACCTACACCATCGGGGAGGCCAGCGTCGGTGAGTCTCGCCGGGACCGGCGGCTCCGTGCCCGCCAGCATCCCTGCTCCGCCAGCATCCCTGTTCCTCCAGTATCCCTGCTCCACCAGCATCCCTGTTCTTCCAGCATCCCTGCTCCACCAGCATCCCTTCTCCACCAGCATCCCTGTCCTGCCAACATCCCTGCTCCGCCATCATCCTTGTCCTGCCAGCATCCCCACTCACCCCGCCCTCTCCACCAGCCCCACGTCGCCACCTCCTTCCATCTCCATCTCCTTCCATCCCCAGCCAAGCCACCCACACCATTATCCCAGCCACCTCTCCCAGCCCACCAGCCCCACTGATGCTGCTGTCCACACCCATTTCAGCACCTTCGCTCTCTTTATCCAAACCCAACTGCATCTTCATCATCTCCTTCACTTCCGGTGAATCCAGCATCACCACTTCCAGTTTCACTCCCAAACAACCCTTCCACCCTGCCAGCCCCTCCAGCTCAAGCCAACCTCCCCCCCACCATCCCAGCCCCAGCAGCCTTTCCTTTCCCCTACCTGTGTTGCTGTAGCCACCCCCCAAAGGTGTGTCTCCACACCTTTGAGGTCACAGTGTCTAGGTTTCTCCTCTTTCACTGCAGGACAAGTGACAGGACCTGGCCCTCCACCAGCTTTGGAGGTGGTGGTGATAGTCCTAGGTCCTGAAATAAACCTGAAGGAGAGGGAGGTTTGCAAGTGTTAATCCTGTTTGGTTTTTTATATGAAGGAAATCAGGAAAGAGACAAGTTTTTCTTTCTGGTTTAATGGCATTGTAATTTCTTACAGAGGATGTACTGTAAACATTTCGGTCATCTTTAATTAATTGCATCATTTGTAAACATTAAATTGTTTCATACTTTTAATATATGTCTGTTTTCAGTCTCCCAGTTCAGGCTAACATTGCACCAGATTTGGGAATTGCCATTTTACATGGCTGTTGGAGACAAAAGGAAAAACATTTAAAATTCAGACAGTGGAGTGCTGTGGCCAGATACAAGCAAGCTGCAAGCACCAAAAAAAGAGAAAAGTTTCTTGCATTTGGGAAAAGTTGTGGAGTCATGCTGGCTTCAAAGGACAGCACACTGCAGCTGTAGGCATGGTCTTTGGTACTCACTAAAATGCTGAGGTGCTTTTTCCTTCTTGAGGAAGGACTGGAAACAAGCAGCTTTGCTAGAATCCAGCACAGCAATGGGCTAGGATTTGCCCAGAGGTCTTGTGGGATGTTTAATCCAGGCTGCGAGGGCTGAGCTGTGGGAGAGTTGTGAGGCTGCTCCTTTCCAGCTGATGAGTGTTGCAGGCAGACTCCTGACCTCAGCTCTGTCCCCAGCCAGTGTGGGCTCCCTGGATGCTCCATGAGCGTGTGCCTCTCTTTGCCAGCTTCCATCAATGAAGATGAGCAGGGCATCATCCCACGAGCCATGGCCGAAACCTTCAGGCTCATCGATGAGAATGACCTGATTGACTACACGGTCCGAGTGTCCTACCTGGAAGTGTACAAGGAGGAGTTTCGGGACTTGCTGCAGGTGGATACAGCCAGCAAAGACATCCAGATCCGGGAGGATGACAAGGGGAACATTGGTATGTGTGCAAAGCCATGTTGTAGGCCACAGCTGGGCTACCTATCCATGAAAGCAGCAGTTTGCTGTGCTTAATATTGAAAGCTGGTCTGGGCAAGGCCGAGTACGGGCAGGGTAACAGCACCAGGCTGTGCAGAGGAGCTGCATCCAGCCCATCCCTCCCAGCCACAGCTGCCTTTGCTTTGCAGTGCTCTGCGGTGTGAAGGAGTCAGAAGTGGAAGGGCTGGACGAGGTGCTGAGCCTGCTGGAGATGGGGAACACAGCCAAGCACACGGGAGCCACCCACATCAACAGGCAGTCGAGCCGCTCGCACACCATCTTCACGGTGACCATGGAGCAGCGGCGCGGCGCTGGCCGGCTGCCCCTGCACCACCGGCCGCCCGCTGTGCCCGCCCCCGGACAGGTCCTCGTGTCCAAGTTTCATTTTGTGGACCTGGCGGGCTCAGAGCGAATTGTGAAGACGGGAAACACAGGGGAGAGGCTGAAGGAGAGTATCCAGATCAACTGTGGCCTCCTGGCCTTGGGCAACGTCATCAGTGCCTTGGGAGATCCCCGGAGAAAGACCACCCACATCCCGTACAGGGACTCCAAAATCACCAGGTACCACTGGGAGCAGGACCCCCCATGTCTCACGGGCTCAGTTTACTCTCTGCCCTCTCTGTGGGTTTTCCTGTAGGGAATCTTGAGGAGCAATGAGGCCAGGATAGGAATGCAGGCCTAGCTCATTGCAGTGCTGGAGACGATGAGGCTTGTGTGAGTTATGCTGCTAAAGATGAGATGAGGTGTTGCTGTGGGTTATCCTGCCTTCCTGCCTGTCAGGGAATAAAAATACCCCCAGCAGACTTGTTTAATGGTCCACAGTTAGTTCTTAGCTTGAGCAGGTGGCCTTTGCAATCTGCAGCAGGACCCCTGACAGCACATACCTAGCAGAGATCACAGAGTCAGGGAGCTCCCAATCCCAGGAGTTATTTGGATGGAGACTTGCTGTGGTGCAAATTGTTAATCCTCTGCTTAATGATTCCATTCACCTCACTGATGCCAAACCAACTACAGAGCAAGGACATCATTTTCCTTGGGCTTAACCTCTGAAAAGGCTTGGAAACATTCTGTTTCATGCATTATTTTGTATTTCTGCTATTTTAATCCCTATGCTCTTCCTTAGGATCCTGAAAGACTCCTTGGGGGGGAATGCCCAGACCGTGATGATAGCCTGTGTCAGCCCCTCATCCTCTGACTTCGACGAGAGCCTCAACACGCTCAATTACGCCAACCGGGCTCAGAACATCCAGAACAAGGCGGTGGTGAACTGCCGCAAGGAGACGGAGCACATCGAGGAGCTCCACCTGCAGATAAAGAACCTGCAGAAGGCGCTGGAGCAGCGGCAGCGCTCCGAGACGCGCATCATCCACCGCTCGGGCAGCGGCAAGCGCGGCGCGCCCGACGCCACGGCCCGGCTGCTGGCCGAGTGCGCCCATTACCGCACCTGCACCGACGCCGCGCACCGGCTGCTCACGGAGCTCCAGGAGGACAGCAACCTGACCGTGGAGCAGATCCTGCGCGTCAAGGAGTGGCTGTGCGCCGTGGAGAGCGAGAGGAGCGAGCTGACCTCGGCCGGGCTGGACAGCGGCATTGAGAGCACCTCCATGGAGGAGCAGGGACAGGAGGCTCAAGGTTCAAAACCGGCAAAAGCCCAGGTAATAGTGGGGTGTTACAGCTCTGAGGTTGGGTTCATCTCATGACCACAGCGACACAGCACGATGGAAGGGTCAGGAGAGGCAGGGGAGAAGAACTAACCTGTCCAGGAGGCCCTAGGGAGGCTGAAGGACATGGTCTCCCCAGCAGGCAGGGAGAAAATAGATTCAGCTGCAGCTGACAGATTTATTGCATAGGAAGAATCTGCGTCTGCAGGGCTGTTGTGTCCTTGCAGAGATAGGAAGGGAAGGACAAATGCTGACGCTACCTCTCTTTTATTTTGGGGAGCAGGTGAGCACTGAGAAGAAGTGTGAGTCCATCAAAGATGAGCAGGTGGCCAAGCTACAGAGGCAAGTGGAACGCCTGGAGGAGGAGAACCGTGATTTCCTTGCTGCCCTGGAAGATGCTATGGAACAGTATAAGCTGCAGGTATCTCTGGGTCTGCTTTCTTTGTAGAAACCTGCCCCATTCCTCTCCTTCCTGCCCAGGGGTGCTCAGCCCAGCTTTCAGGTTCCCCTGCAGGGGGTCTCAGATCAACATGTATGTAACCACATTTTTCTCATTTTTATCTAGAGCGACAAACTGCAGGAGCAGCAGGATAAGATCTCAGAGCTGCACGTGCGCTTGGAGATGGCAATGCCAAACCTGTGTGTGCCAGGACTGCTGGAAAATCTTCACCTGGTCACTGCCAGCCAGAGACCTCACACAGCCCCTCTGGATGCTGCCCCGTCCCATGGCTTTGGTGGGGTTCCCTCTGGGCTGCTTCCTGAGCAGAATGGAAGAGCTCTTTGCAAGAAGGTGAGGGCATAAGGCTGTGCCACTGAAGAACTGCTGCCTCTTCACTTGGCTGCTCTCCACTGTACGAGAGCTTTTGCCCTGCTGTTCAAT